GTCAATAGGAATAGAAAAATAGTACTACTTGAAAATACTATTAGCAGTCTAACATGGATGTACAAGCTATCAGAGCTTGAAGACAGTTACCAATAATGTTATACGAACAAAACTCATTCGACATTGCATGTGAAACATTGGAGTTATTAACCCATGATAAAGAATTTATTGAAGATATAAAATAGACTACTGAGCTATGATCTAAGAGTCAACTAAGAAAGTTGTTAGTCACATTATTAGTGACAAATACCATAAGTCGTTCTTAAGTTGTTTGGGGAAAATCATGTGAGTTCTTGGTTGATATGAGACTATATTTGATTGATAAATTTGCAAAAACAAGGTCCTTCTATAAAAAGTTAATTTTTTATTTATATAAAGATCAATATGAAATGTACTCCGTATGATATATATACAAAACTTTAGACTTGAGATATGAGTTCAAATTTAATGATTTAGTCCCATTTTAACCATTTCTGTAGAACTTATTATTTTTCAAGAAGATCTAAAAACTTTATGTTTGATTAAGATAGAAAAGTTATATAATTCAATTATTCAAATACATGATCTTTATAAGAGTTCAATGATATGTCATTACGAGATGACAATCCACTTAATATATTTTTAAATAACATCTTGGTACATGAGTTGAACTATGACAAATAAAAGTTGTCATATGATCGTAAATACTCCCTCCGTTCTAAATCCAACTTCCCAGATTGACTAAATCTCATTTTAAGGGATTGATTAATATTATTTAGGCTCCGTTCCGTTCAACTTATTTTTTCTGATCTGATCTGATTCTAATAAGTTCTGATCTGATCTGGTCTGATCTGATCTGATCTGATTGGATCTGATCTGATCTGATTGGATCTGAACTGATCTGATCTAATCTGATCTGATCTGATCTAATCTGATTAATTATGATTTAATTTAAAATTTCAAATCAATAATTTAATTTGACTTTATAATAACGTTTGAAAATTGTAATGATAATTCATATTATAATATAATCAATATTTTTTATTTAATGATTATTTTTTAATAAAATAAAAATAGTTAATTCATATATTAGAATAATCATTCATATTATACTGTAATAATATTTTTTATTTTATGATTATTTTTTTGTGAAATTAGAATTATACATTAGAATAAATATTTAATTTAGATATACATTA